ACTCCCTTTGCCAACAACTACAGAAGGAAGGCTGGCAAGACCAGTGATGGTAAGGACAACTTTTTTTTTTCACTTTTAACACTGCAAACTGAGCCTCTAAAGGAGGCGGAGGGGGAGAGGGGGGATGGGGCAAAAGGCCCCTCACCTCCCTCCTCCCTTGGATTCGCCAATGTATACATGTATATTTGCACAAATGGCTTTGATTTCTTCCTCTCTATATTTGCAGTACTATTTTCGCACGAATCTCTCTTTTGCTGTTCACTTACTCCTGGTATACCTTCATTTACAGTTCGATGCCCCTAAAAACACTGATTGCACCGGAAAAGAAACTAACCTTAAGCCGTCGCCAATACAGTGCATTTCTTAAGCGCTGCACCTCCATCTTCTCATCCACAATTCGAGCAGCTGGTTGGTATGGCTGTGCCATCTTTTGAGCACAACTTCCTAGTCTGGCAGGAACTATGAAACACTGCAAAATGAATGAGAACTCAATTACGCGTCCAAAAAAATAGTATGAACTATTGGTATAGAACCCCTGGACAATACCGCAGTGTTGTCACCAGATGTAGCGGTCCTGAACTCCGCCAGTTACCTCCCCACCTTGTCCCCCCCCCCCTCAAAGGATTTGTCTCTCCCTTCCCCACTGCTTGGCTTCCTACGTAAAGTGCTAGCATGAAGATTCGCAATAGCTCGAGTTCTTCAAAAAATATCTGTTACAAGTAAGCTTTCGCAAAGCTGGAACTTCAATTAATTCAGAAAAATTCATGACAAAACAAAATTTACTTCCACAAATAATAATAATAACAGCTAAAGCAATAACTAAAACAAAAACAATGATAAACATATGCTTTTTCTTTAGCTAACAGTGCGGTCCTCAAAAAAAAAAAAAAAAAGAATTTCGAATATTACTATTAAAAAAACTGGTTCAAAAAAGTTATGAACGTATAAAAATACTCGTTCCAATCTAACACCAGTGACGCACAACATCGCACCTCACAGCCCAAGCACAATAAAACAAAAAAAGAAAAATCGGCATTAAAAGTTAAAAGCACTTATATTTCTGCAATTCCCAATCGATAAGGCGGTCTAGTGGTGCTGCTGCCCAATACTAACCAAGGAGATCTCGATACGGCCAAATCCTTGTCAAGGCTTTTAGCAGAAAACGAAACGAATGTTAGGATCGCCAATGAGTTGTCCACTGCGCGGTGAGACCCTGGCCAGAGGAACCGAAGAAGCTGGCAGTTGCAGAGTTAGGAAGAAAGTCACGCAATGAATGTGGAGCCGAACAAAACTGGTTAGCTTAAGTGGGACTGCAAAATATGGCTCCTTTCAGAATATTAAATGTACTTGTATACGACTATTCTATTCCTCTCTTTTCCCTTAGGCCGTTCGCTCAATTACGCTACATCTCTAGATAAATGACACGCTCTTGCCATATACTTTCTTTCAACCCCCATTTTACTTCATTTATTATTATGTCACTGCACTTTGCCAGCAGTAATGCTACTCCTTCCAACACATACAGATATTCGAAAGAGAATCATCTCTAAAAACTACAGTTAGTTACAAAAAAAAGTACTTTTCACGAAAAATGCAACAATGCTAATGCTTTCTCTTCCTCTTCCCGTATGTGCTTCCTTTTTCGTCTTCTTGCAGTTGTTTGCCTTTCAGCTATATTACCTGCGTATTCGTCAGTACCACCAGCATCCTCCTGAAAATTTTTTTAATTTTCAAATTCAAAGACACTGAAGCACCTCCTTCACATTTCACTTATTATGGCAGATGGAAGCAAAACTCGAATGCAGCAAAACACGCAGAATTCCGCCAAGAACAACCAGCTGCTGGTAAAAATACCAGTGAGTTCAGTGAATGAAGCAATCTGCAATGAGAGTCTTAACTTCCGCGCAAGCGGAGTTACCAATTTACCATCAAAAATCAGTGGGAGAATTGGATACCTCAAGAGTAATTAGGCCTGAGACTAGCGCTATTTTATAATAGACCAAGCTTATTAACGCTGAAGGTATAAATTAACAATTTCAAAAATTAATAAACTCAAAATTTCAAAAAAAAAAGTCTGCAGCTTACAATCTAACGCCATCAACAGTCATGACAGGTAGAACTGTTATTTTTCAAGATCCCATAGACTTCTAGCTACTAGATTCTAATAAGCCTTGACTGCCAGGGGCGCTAGATCCCAAATATCACAAAAAAACTATTTCAGGATCATAATCGCACATGTACTCTCAGCATCTAATTTCAAAACTCTAACAGTCTGACTGGCTTCTGTGTTTTGCACGTGCACACATATCACTGAGGGATATTGCTTCACCAATATTAACTGAGATTCCATACATACCTTACGATCATCCAGTGTATCATCGCCGATCTCGTTCCACTCAGCGTCATATTTCTTTGGTCTATCAGGATCCGGCAACCAAGACAAGTCATCGCCTGAGTTGCCGTAATCTCCTTCAGTTGCTAAATCCAAAACAGCTCCGGTTTGTCGATTTTCTCTTTGCTTTCTCATCTTCTCTTTTAGTTTCTCCCTTTTTTCCTGAAATATTACACGATTCTCCAAAAACTATTAATCAGAACAGCAGCAGTGTTTGTCCATTATACGATTAGGATTCTTATTTTCGTATAAAAAGGGTTATGATAAAGCCAGTTGCGAGCTGGTGCATTGATAGCAAGAGATAAAAAACAACGGCATGTACTTCGGCAGAGGTACTTTACAACATATCCGTAAATCCGCCCTCCC